ATCCCTGCTCTGATCCCAGTCTCTACTCTGCTCCCATCCCACTCCCTGCTTCAATCCCTGCTCTGATCCCACTCCCTGCTCTGATCCCACTCCCTCTTCTGATCCCTGCTCCCATTCCTGCTCTGATCCCACTCCCTCTTCTGATCCCTGCTCCCATCCCTGCTCTGATCCCACTCCCTGCTCTGATCCCTGCCTGCTCCCATCCCTGCTCTGATCCCACTCTCTGCCTGCTCCGATCCCTCTCCCATCCCGTGCCCCATCCCTGGGAGGGGTTGGATGGATTCCCTGATGGATTCCCTGATGGATTCCCTGATGGATTCCCTGAATCCCCATCCCGTGCTGGTTCTGCAGCTGAGCCCAGCAGGATGGAGAGAGGAGCCTCTGGGCAGTGCCTCCTGCCCTACACTTCCAGGAAAGAAAGGGCTTCCCTGGTGCTCCCTGCTCTGCCCAGCAGCTGAGTTTACAAGTAAATACAGGTAAGGAGCTTTGCTGCAGGATAATTCCCTCCATCAGCAGAGTTGCATAAGCCCCTCTTTCCCCACGTGGCACTGCCAGCAGAGGTGCTGTCCCCTGAGGCCTTGCCAGGGACCCGGGGGCATTCCAGATCCCACGGTTTTAGGAATTTTTTATGGCTGCTGAGCTGCTCCAGTGTAACAACTCAAAGATAGTGCTAAATTCTTGTCATCAGTTCTCTGAAAATGATAGAAAAATGAAGTGTGTGAACGTGTCAGAAAGACACAAAACAACTTGGTTTGTTCAGCCTGGAGAGGAGGAGGCTGAGGGGAGACCTCAGGGTTATTTCAGCATCCTCTGGAGGGGCAGTGTAGGGATGGGTTTGGACAACATTCCAGGCACAGAGAGGGATTGTTGGGCTGTCGTGTGCAGGGCCAGGAGCTGGGCTGGGTGATCCCTGTGGGTCCCTCTCAGCTCAGGATATTCCATGATTCTGTGATCCCATGATTACTCACCAGGGCATCTCTCAGGCTGTCCAGTCTGAGGAGGGATTTCCCCTCTCTGGGCCCATCCTCAGTGCTCTGTAAAGGAGAGAGCAGAGAACACAAGGGCCCTGATGCTGTGTCTGACCTCCAGGAGTCCAGTCCCACTGGTCTCGGCCTTTCTGGGCTCCCACATGCACTGCCAGCATTTAAACAGCCTGTGCATTTAGATTTTGTCATTAGACTCAGCAGAGGAGGACAAGGCTTCAGCAAGCTGCTGCTCAGAACGTGTGAGGCTGAAGTGATTACAAACCCTTTGCTTTCATTACTAGCAAGGCTTGAAGGTGCTGGGAGGGATGAGGGGTATAATTTACTCCATCTGTAAGGCTGTTCTTCCATTGCAGGCACTCAGAGATTTACACTCTCTGCCTGCCTGCCTGCCTGCCTGCGTGCTCGGATTATTTAGGGAAGGCTGGCGGGGAAGCCAAGAGGAGCCAAAGCCCCGCTCTCACATTTCCCTGGGCTGTGACTGTGCTTATTCCCAGGGATGGAGCTCTGGGAGTGACTCAGAGGCACTCAGACAGCAGAGTGAGTGCTCAGCCCCCCATCCCTGCTGCTCCAGCACAGCTGGAACCCGCTGTGTGCCTGATCCTGGGAAGGATGGATCACTTCTACTGGGAAGGATGGATCAGCGCTCCAGGAAGGATGGATTACCTCATCCCCAGAAGGATGGATCCCCTCTCCAGGAAGGATGGATCACCTTTCCAGGAAGGAAGGATCACCTTTCCTGGAAGGATGGATCACCTTTCCAGGATGGATGTACCCCTCTCCAGGAAGGATGGATCAG